GGGTTGTGGAAAGAAATTTGAGAGAATCACATGAGATGGTCAGCGAGGAACTTCTCAGTTCCAAGGACCAAAGGTCCCATTTTTCAACCAAGTCTCGGGCAACCAGGTTGAGTTTCTCAGTCTAGTGAGTGGCGAGAGGGCTATTAGCATGCCTAATCTTATCTCACTGATATGCAGTTTCTTCTTCTCTGAGTTACTGCATGGAAATTAGACATCATCAAATCCCAATATGAAAGCCAGAGCAGTTACCCGGCAACTCCAGCTTGCCAAATGCTATTCTGGATCTCTGCTTTAGATATTAGGCTCTAATATTACAGCGCATGCTCCATGGGTAGCATTTGCATGCATAGTCCATCCACAGGCCTTGGCATTCAACTTATACCAGACTAACCACATCATCATGGCACAGTATGGCTCTGTACTTCAATGCTAGACTTCAGAGTGCAAAGGCATCTTTCATTGCAATATTGCTACAAGGACACTTTGCACGCAGGGACAGGACTTCCCAGTTCATGGGTTGGACTAGGCTGCATCTCAGGATTCTTCCCTCTGTCTCTTAATACACACACACACATACACACACGCATGCACACACTTTGTGTGTAATTCAGTGCTTACAGCTTACCTGCTTTACCTTACCCTAGCTTGCCTTTTGGCACTTTTCTCCCTCAGCCAGAGTTTGAAGGCTCACAGTCTCACCTTTCTGATTTGTGCAGACAGGAAGACAGGCAATTATCATGGTATACAGCCATGGACAATCAACAGGGTGGAGATGTTACTGCAAGGTAGAGTGCACTGTCAATGTGGCCCTAAAGTATGCGTCAGCATACTGATCTCAGTTCAGGGGTTTGAGAACAGTGAGCGTACTGCTTGGTGGTATTGCCATAGCCCAGGGAGTGGATTATGGCCCTGCAACTTCAATGCAAACAGCTAGTGGATTTGTGATAAGTTAGTCAGGTGCTGCACACAGATCAGTCAGGGCTCTGGCCAATTCTCAGTCAGGGCTGTTCATCCAAATCAGTGGGCAATGGCTGATGACCCTGTGGGTCATCTGAATGAAAGTCAATGGGGTATTTGCGGGAGATAAGGCATTAAGGAGGTTGGGGCAATCAATACTAGGGATTGGAGGCAGCAGCCTGAAATGCTGATGGGACATGAATAGTGATGGGAGGAAATTGAAACATAAGGTGGGAGATGAATGTGCATGGGAGGAAAGGCAATAATGTGGGTTGAGGGAACTTAATAGTTGTCATCATCACTGTGCCTTGATAGTTGGAATGTGCAGCACAATGGTGAGGAAAGACTAAACTTGAAGGCTCAGTGGGTAATTTTAGGAGATGAAGTCATAACGCAAAGAGGTGTGCGGGAATGTGTGGATGCTCAATACTGATCACTTGACAGAGAATGCCAGGAGAAAAGGAACATGAAGGTTTTGGAGATAGTAGGAACTGCAGATGCTGGAGAATCTGAGACAACAAGGTGCAGGGCTGGTTTTGGGGTTGTTTTTGATTATCAGGCTGAGCCAATGTGACACGCATGACCTGCACGTTCAGTTGACTCTAACTGCAAACTGCAAATAGAAAATAGTTGTTAGCGCTCCTGGAGTGGGCAGAGTCAGTGTTTTCTTTCAGTACCAAGACATGGGCTTCACCCAGGAGCAATGGGAGGCCCCTTCAAATGAATCAGGACCTTTCACATTACAAGCGGATGCATCTGTAATCATATCATCATGCATGTCTAATGTGTGACAATACAAATCCTGGTCATCAGCAACCTTGTTAGCATCATCAGTCATTTCAGATTGAAGATATTCATCTCTGTGAATCGGAAATAATCATAGCAACTTTAAAAATGACAAAAGCACAAAGCTACAACAAGATCACAATGGCTACCTAGGAGCACGGAACTGATTCCCTCTCACTTTGAATTGTAAGTATTTGTCAACATGCTGTTAAATGCAGTGATGCTTTTCTTGGATGATGTAGGGCTGGTAAATCAAAGTCTCAGTGTTTGTATAGCCACTTACAATCTCCTGCAATCTCTTTGTGGCATGACTAGTGCGGCATTCATTGGAATAAAGTCCTTTGTCAAAGTTCCATGTTAAGGAAGAGAGCTCCATGTCCCTGTACAGAGGAGTGTGCTAAATTGTCATTTATGAGTGATTTGGAGGCAGACTGCTCATGTTAGTAAGGACCTGTTACTATTCTTATGTCCGCAGTGCAGATTCTTCAGAAGCATGACTAGTGAATCCAGTCACAGCAGAGCTTGCAGTGCTGTGCAATGGTGATGCAGGAGAGATGGAAGGGTAAAATGTGCCAGCAAGGCCAATGCAACCTCCAGTGAATGCTGAACAGTGACAGGAAGAGGTTACAGCTGAAGATCCATTGCCTCAGGGGAGGTACAGACCCTATGAACTTCAATACCATTTCCTCCGAATGATGGGGTGCAGTGTCGCTGAAGGCTGGGGATGTCCTGGGACACTGTCACAGACTGTCCCAGCTGTTGGAGTGGGACCTGCAACACAAAGGTTTTGGTGGCCATCTTATCCTGATCGTTGCCCAGGTGACAGCTGTGCTAAGCTTTCATCTAACTGGCTCCTTCCAAGGATCCTCAGGGATCTGAGAGGGATCTCTCCATCATCCACACACAAGTTTTTTCAAGGCTATTACTCATTGCAATTAGTACCAGATCACACTGATTCACCTTTTCACCCCATGATAAGATCAGTGTAGCAGCCTGGGCAGTACATTTTGGCAATTTAGCAGGCCTGACCCAGATGCAGGAGGTGATAGACCGTACACACATGGCGTTGAGAGTGCTATATTGTAGCACAGCCGAATTAATCAATAGAAGAGCCTTGTATTCCATCAATGTACAATTATCTGTGATCCACGGTACATCATGCTATCTTCACCTGGTCTGATCTATGTGACTCCAGACCCACCAGTGTGGTTGGCTTTTAACTGCCCTCTCAAATGGCCTAATAAGTGAATCAGCTTCAGAAAACTTCTAAGAAGAAATGCTACAAAAAGGAATGAAGGAGGATGGACCACCCAATATTAGTCTAGGCACCAAAAATGACAATGGCAGAAACATCTCTGTCAATGCTTCAAAGTCCTCCTTATGAACCTCTGAGGAATAGTGTCAACATTGGGAGAGCTGTCTCACAGACTTGTCAAGCAACAGCCTGACATTGTCATTCTCAAAGAATCGTACCTTATAGACAATGTTCCGGACACTAACATTAATATCCGTGGATAGGTCCTGTCCCACCCGCAGGACAGACCCAGCACAGGTGGTGGCACATTGGTGTACAGTTGGGAGGTAGTTGCCTAAGGAATCCTCAACATTTGATCTGGACACCATGAAGTCTCATGGCATCAGGTCAAACAGGGGCAAGGAAACCTCCCGTTGATTCGCACATACCGTACTCCCTCAGCTGTGTTGAACATCACATGGAGGGAGCACTGAGCTTAAACAGGATTATTGCAAGATCCAATGAGTCCATGGACAGGTGAGCTGTGTGGCTTGCTTCCTAAGCAGTGATTGATATGAGACTGTGTACTTTCGCAGCCTGGATAGCACTGGTTTATATTAGCTCTTCTACTTAATGCATAGTGAAGGCCAACCCTAGACTGGCATTACTTGGCTGGGTGCATGCTGGTCTTCAAGCATAGCGCTGGTGCCAGGGATTCTGGGATGTCCCAGCAGTGGTGAGTATTTCTGGCATGGTGAGGGGCGGAATACGATGAGAGCAACACTAGAGACTTGTGCTTTATAGCTAATGAGGTGAGTTTTGGATGTTAGCGTGAGAAAACTCGCTAGGCCTTGCAGAGGGAAACCTTCCATGAAACTCGATGAAAGTGACACGTAGCCAATTTCTGGTAAGATTCAGCCCAGATTATTTGGTAATTATCACAGTGATAATTACAGGAGTTTGTTTAGCTCAAATTGACTGTTTTATTTCTCACAACAGTGACAGCATTTCAAAAGTACTTCATTGGCTTTAAGACAGTTCTGATGGTCTGAAGAATGCTTTAAAATGCCAGCTTTATCCTTGTGTTTTTTTAAAATATATTTGACATGTATCTTTTATGAAATAAAAACAAAATCTAAATGTTTATTAGGATGTACCACTTTTGAAGTAGAGTGTCTGAAGCATGCCATGAGATACACATAGAAAGGAGACAGACAGCATTTGGAATTAATTTTCTGCCCACTTGAATTTATTTACCTTCCATTTCAATTTGAACTGAAGTGAAGGAGATAATTAAAGGCATATTTGTATTGACAGGACTCTAGGGAAGAATTACTGTCCTGACATCGATCCATAAACTTTTAAACATTGTGGGAAAGGCCACTTGATTGAAAGCAAACAGAAATATCTCCAAGGCATTGGCATGTCACATGTGGGCTTCCATTTTTACTTAGGGTCAGTAAAGAAAATCCAGATGGGAAGTAGGAATTCTAGATGGGAATCTTGAACGTTATTGTTTCCCGAATGTCTTGCTGAAAGTCGACTTAAGAATTTTGTGGCTGGAAGTCAGGCCAATGGGCAATGTTTTGGGTGGGAATACAAGTGGGGAAAGTAGGGGTAAGGCATGGGGTGAGGGCTGCCAGAGATCCTGGGGCGAGTCAGAGATTGGGTGGGGGTGGCGGATGACTGGGTGATGTGGGTGGGATATTGTGAGGTGCATGAGGATGAATTTGCTTGTTGGGACTGGACGAAACACTCCTGCTCCTCCTGATCCATAAGCAATGCTGCTGAGATATTTACTCACGAACCTGGCACTTCTTGTTTCTTTTTAGCTATTAGATTCCCTGAGCCCTGCAAGACGTAATGTTTATAGGTTAAAAATAGAAGTCAAATTTTTAAAAGTGACACACACAGGCCCCTTAACACTGTAACTGTCAGAACCTCCTCCTAAACTGGATATGGGTGCAGTTTGTAACATATTAAGGATAAGACTGTGTTTGAGACCTCTCTTTATTTGTTGCAGCCACTACTAACACTAGAATTTGGAAGAATAGTAATCTACACAACTAGCCTTCGTGTTGTGAGGACAACATTTGACCGCTGTGAGATAGTGAGGAAAATTTTCCAAAATCACAGAGTAAAATTGGAAGAGAAAAATATTGCTTTGAACAGTGATTATGGAAAGGAGCTAGAAGAGCGTTGCAAGAGAGCTAATGAATCACCTTCCTTACCTGTGGTGTTCATCGATGGTCATTATCTCGGGGTAAGTTGAGAAGTTCTGGCCATTTGCCAAAATGTGTTTATTATTTCATTTCACCTGATTTATGGGGAAACAGGAGAAAGAACAATACATTCTTCACCATTCTAATGAATCCAATTTCACATTTAGTCCTTAATGAGTACATTTACATACTCAAATTATCAAGATGAAGTTATGCAGTAAAAGTTGAGTAATGAGAGATCAGTGAGTGGTCAAATGGACGCGAAATTTAGCTTCAGTAGTCATTATTAACAAATAAGGACTGATTTTTTTTCATGATGTTTTTTGATTTTAGTTCCTCAATATGAGTGTCTTTCAGAAAGAGAATCAGCACAAGCCTGAATTTCTCCCCACCTCCCAACCTAGACAGTGTTACTTCCACAGTTGCAGTACCATGAAAGTTTAGGATAATGGGTTTTACATAAGTTTGATAAAATTGTGCCAGTGCGTAGCATTAAGGGAATGGCACAGCATAGACAGAAAGTTGGTTCCTGGGCAAGAAATGGTTAATGTTTTTGGTTGAATTGGGCAAGGAAAGGAACTGGCATATCTTGTAATCAATACTCATCTCATTTTGTAAATATTACATGATATATTTATGTATGATTTGCTCAGTTGTAAATTTACCTGTTCAGAGATATCATTACAAACCTTTGAACAGATGGGACTTGAACCCAGGATTCCTGATTCAGGGGCAGGGACACTACCACTGTGCCAGGCAAATCCTCACTGTTTCTTGGAGGGAATATTAATCAATCTGTTTAGACATCTTATGACACACCTCTGGGGCAGGTTATGCTTGAATCCAGGCCTTCTGGCCCAATGTAGCAACACTACCATTGCACCACAACAGCTTCTTGCTCATTTGTCTGTTGGGCCAAATTAAAGTTAGCATTGATAAGGAGGTTAGGAGAAATTTATTCACATAACTTTTTTTTGGATGCCTTGCTATAGGAATAAGTGATTGAAGCAAAATGTATTGAATCTTTTAAACAATATAGTGAAGAAATATTTCAGGGAGAAAAAGAAATAGTGCTATTTGTGTTGTATTTCTCTAGCTATGAGCTGGCACAGTCACAATGGACGAAATGGTTGTAAATTTGTTGATACACTCCACTCTCCAATTCCCACCTCATTCACTGAGCCCTGTATTTTCCACCATAATCACTGATTTGTGACTATCCACTTCTCAGATGACCAAACCACCTGCATGATGTGCAACACCTACCAACCCCTACCTCCCTGCCTTGTCTCTCTCCAGTCTCCTGAGATTACACTCCAAATCATGTTACATCTTCCCCCTTCTCAGCCCACCCTCTTCTTTATACCCAGAGAAGCAGGATGCTTACCTGTTCTAGAGCTACAGTCTCTTCTAGAGCATTCTCTGGCAAACAAGGAATGAAGCTTGGCATCTGGGTGGGGAGCCTATTAAACACAAAATGTCAGCTAAAACCAGAACTGTCCACCACCTGGAAATCAAGCCCAAGAAAATATCAGTTCTCATTGGTTGAACATAGAATCAATGTCAGTATATTTTACATCCCCTCCTGGAATCAGTCACTCGAACCTTCTGTGAAATGGTTGTACTGTATTTATAACTATTTTTTAAGCAACCTGTTCAGAGATATTATTACACATCTCTGGAACAGCTGGCCTCCTGGCTCAAAGGTAAGCATACTACCACTGCATCTATTTCCTTGCTTAAGAAAGGAGCTCACCTGATGTGGTCTCATCAATGCTCTTGTTACAATTGTAGTAAAAATAGATTATCAAAGTTCAACATCCATCATTTGATGTTAAGACCAAAGACTTTATGGGAGCAACAGTGATTTGAGAAAACATAATGCTGACCTGTAATCTCCTTTTTTACCTCCTACATCAGCCTGGTTACTTTCCATCTTGTCCTAGGGATTTGTCCACTTTCAAGCCTGCTAAAAGTGCAAATACCTCCTCCCTCTCAATATTGATTTGTTCAAGTATATTACAGACTCCATCCTGATTTCATCCTTCTCTCTATACACACATAGTTTAAAACTCCAATCACATATTCTGTTTATGCAAAGAGATTTCCCCTTTGCTCCCTAATGGGAACTACTCTTTCCCTGGTCATTCTCTTGCCTCTAATATCATTATAAAATGCCTACAGATTTTACATTATGTTACCGGCCAGTGTTTTTTCATGTCCTTCTTTGCTCTCCTAATTTATTTCTTAAATAACATTACACTTTTTATATGCCTCTAGAGCATCTGCTGTCTTGAGCCTTTGGCATCTACCTTAGGTTCATTTTATTTATTGTCCAATTCTGAATATCCCTTGATGTCCAGGGTTCGCTGAACTTGTTAGTCTCACCCTTTACCTTTACAGGAATGTGTTGGCCCTGTATATTCACTATTAACCATTTGGATGTCTCCCATGGCTTGGATGTGGATTTTCCTGCAAGTAGCTGCTCCTAGTTCACTTTGGAGAGATCCTGTACTTTCTTATTAAAATCAGCCTATCCTCAATTCAGAACTTATACTTCCAATCTATTTTTGTCCGTATCCATAATTACCTTAGATATTACTGCATTTTGGTCGCTATCACTGAAATGCTCCCTCACTGACACACTGACTTGCTTGGCTTTGTTCCCCAACATCAGGTCACTTCTCTTGTAGGACTTTCTACTTGGAGACAATAAGGACTGTAGATGCTGGAAGCCAGAGTTTATAGGTATAGCTGGAAAAGTACAGCAGGTCAGACAGCATCAGAACAGCAGGAAAATCAAAGTTTCAAGCTGAAATATTGACTTTCTTGCTCCTCTGATGCTGTGTGACCTGCTGTGCTTTTCCACGAAATTCTACTTGCTGGTTTAAACTTCCCCTGGATACATTCTAGGAATTCTGCCTCCTCTAAGTCTTTCACACATCCCAGTTAATATTAGGGAAGTTGAAATCCCCTGCTATTTTTGCCCTATTATGTCTATACATGTGTCTTTCTGCTTTTCCTGATTATTTTGATGTCTATAGTACACCTCCAGCAAAGTGATTGCCCTATCCTCCCTCATTTTTCGTCTTCTCTTATATTCTTTCATTTGAAACACAAACTGCTCCAGAGTAAATCAATTGTTCTTTGGTTCATCTCTTAGCTTCTTCTGTAATCCTGAAGCAAATCGGAATTGCATGAATTGTATCATCTTGATCGTCCAGTTTGATTCCATGTATGCAGGATTTGTGATTTTATGTCTGCCTGGATATGTAATATCTTTCTTCATTATCATTATATTTAATTACTTTTGCTTCACTGATTTAAATTACTTACTTGAAAGCTAATACAAGAATTTTAATTTTGCTTTGTAAATAATACTGGTTTTGCCATTCAGTGTTTAAATTGTACAATCACTTTAATTGTCTTAAATATTGTTTTCTTCAGCAAGTTTGAAAAATATTATTTGCTTTAATTACTGGATAATGAAGATTAATTGTTAGTAACACTTTCTCATTGAGAAGCTTTGCATTTTTAATAAAGATTTCTAACTTCCACCTTACTTTCTTTTTCAGAAACTTCCTTTCATTTCTGACACTTAAAATTGAAAATCATCTAAATGTTTTATAATTATCCTCCTACTTGTGCTAAAACTGTTATTCATTTAAAAATTGTCAAAATGCTTTAAAATGAAGAAATACATTCTTTTATCTTGCTCCCAGGGTGGATGATTGACCGCATTTATATTATTTCTCCTCCTTCATAATTGTTTTGTATCATTTTTTATCAATATAGCGAAGACACACAGTTTCTGCTTATTCTCCATTATATTCATGCCATTATTTTAAATTTTAAAAAGCCACAGTACTGTTATCACATCCTTAAGCAAAGTTTCTGTTGTGTAATAAGAAGTTTTTTTCTCAAACCACTGATTATTTTCAATAAACTCTTCATTTGCCTTTTAGTTTCTCACTCCAATTAGTCAAATTTGCAGCCATTTTAATGATTTCCTTAAAGAGTGTCCTTTTATCAATTTTTTCCCCCAGAATTGTCCAATGATTTTCAACAATGTTACAAACACAACAATGTCTACTTAACTTCACAGTCTGGAATTCTCCTTCAAATGTAAGAACTTAAACACATGTTCTCAGGGACATAACTTACTTTGGGTGCCTGATATTAACCATTGTATCTCAGGTTTATGATTTGGATTTTTGTCTCGTAGCTTTGATAAGACTCTGTGTGGTCTTTGGAAGTTTTCTCAATTATTTCATTATTTCTGTCTTAAGGTTCTACAGACAGCCTTAATGCTGCTGCTGACTTTTTTTAATTGCTGGCTGCTGCATCCAGAGAAGCTGACTGGCTCTGTGAGCATTTGAGCTGTTGAATATTTAAATATATTCTCACTGTTTTCTGACTGGAATTCTTACTTCTTTCTTCTCCTCAGTTGCCTATGGCATTTGTAGAACTGATTATTTCTTCAGGCTAGCACGGTGCGGTCGAAATCTGCATAGCTGTAAATGACAACAGTGCCCAGCAATGATATAATGCTAGAACAGTGTCTGCTAGTGTTATCCAGGACATCTGGCATGCATTAGTTGGATTGACTGTCACCAGTCCTCCTTATCGTTGTTAGTTACTGAAGCCAAGTAGGGAAGGATGTCCAGGCAAAGTCTTGAGTGGAAGATAGGCTCAATCTTCAAAACAGTGTAGATTCATTACAAATTACGCGATAGATAGTTTCATTACATCAGTAATGCATGATTTGTGAGACATCAGAATCACCTAAAGAGTATGTATATTGCCATAAGCCAAATTGACTTAACATTAGAATAACTGGTACTGCAACACTGCAATGCTAGTCTTTGAACTCATTAGCTCCTGCTAGGATCATTTCTTTATATTCTGATTGGTGGAGTTTACCATTTGATGTGAGTTAACCTTTTTAGCTAGGTGTCTTATAGAACATATTACTTCTGTCAAATGTTTGTTCGCTCACTTAAACTGTCTATATTTATCTCACGTAATTGTATTTCCATAT